TAATACATCATGCATTCACAAATTTCTGTTAATAATCATGTCCTCAATTATTTTATTATAACTTATGAGTAATGTAGAATTGCTTTGTAAGATGGGCTTTGAAAATCAAATGCTGTAGGAATATTCTTAAACAGTAATTTGTTTTTCAAAATATAGTCTGCCTACAAAGCTCACATGATATACTATTAATAACAGCACAATCATACAACATAAGAAGAAAATCCAAATTACGATGCAGATAGCTGCAGTACTCAGAAATGAAATAATTTGCTTGATGACTAATCTATTTTATTGTTTTTCTTCATTCCCTATCTAAAGGATACCAAGTTATGATGTAATTACCCAGAGGTGACAGTTTAGTATTTTTATACGTTTATATGCTCTTCAGCAATAGTTTATGCATTTTGCATTTAAGGGTTATTGGCTAAAGCCCACATAAAGCAGGATGGGTAATGCTCAAAAAGTCATTTCTCAAGGGAGGCATGTCAACTGTCATGGAGTGGGGGTATCTACCAGCCCCTTTGCATCTTCCCATGAAACAATGAGCTTTTTTCTCTTGTGCAGGTTAAAAAACAACCCTTGGATATGAGACTTTTTGGGGCAGAAGCTTAGGAACTCAGTTAAATTTATCCTCCAAAATGAATTAATTATTCTACGTTCGGTAAGATGTGGATACTTACCTGCTTCAAGAGAGTTGGGGAGTCAGGCACAACCCTGTTACATTACTTAGAATCATAGAATCATTAAGGTTGGAAGGGACCTTTAGAGATCATCTAGTCTGACCCCCCTGCATGGGCAGGGTCACCTAGAGCACGTGGCACAGGATTGTGTCCAAGCAGATTTTGAATATCTCTAGAGAAGGAGAATCCATAACCTCCCTTGGCAGCCTGTTCCAGAGCTCTGTCACCCTCACAGTTCTGAGTATATTCTGTGGGCTAGCTGTAAATGGCTACCTTGACAGAAAGCAAGAGTACTACCTCTCTGCACTGTCTGCCAGATGGCTTACCATGCAAATCCAGACACCAGTTTTCTTTACTTCACAATATATAATGGATAATTAATGAAGTAATTGATTTATAGTCAACTACAGTCTGATATTCAACTTTGGAAAGTGAAGTTTGATTATACAGACTCCTTTTCTGAATGGTAAATGAATGATGATACTCACAGCCTGCACTTGGAGCTGCAGGTCATTTTCAGCTTTACCATTTTCTCCTCCATCTCCTTCCTCTTTGCCTCAGACTTTGCAAGCTCTTCCTTGGTTTTCTCAAACTCTTCCTTCATATTGGCCATCTCCTTCTCTGATTCTGCGCTCTTCAGCAAAGGCTTGATCTTGAAGAACAGCTTCATCCAGGGCCAGTGCTTGACGTTCATGAATGCACGAACATTGTACTGGATACAGAAGATGGACTCCCTGAAGCAGAGTTAAATGTACATTGAATAATTTGCATGTGAATGGTGTAGACACTTTCTCCAAAGTACAGTGATGATTTGCATTTGAGAAATGTGTACCTCCTCTCCACCATTCTCTGGTACTCCACTCTCATGAGGAAGCCCCTGCACCTGGCCTGTGTGCGAGTGATGAGCTGTGCCAGCTTCTCATCTCTCATCTCCTCCAGGAGCCCCAGCAGCCCAGCTTTGAAGAACACCTTGAGAAGGGGAATATTGCAGCTTGTCATTGTCAGGTGGCACAAAACACGGCCACACAGGATAGTACATGAGTCAAGGAGTGTTTGTACCTTGGTGTGACCAAATTTGTACTGGGTGTGGTCCACATCAATGGAGCCAAGGAGCTTCTCAGAAGCCTTCTTGCTGTCAATGAACTGTCCCTCTGGGATAGCACTTGCATTGAGCACCTTGTACCTGTTCAAAGAGAAGGACGAGATAAGGCTGTTCTTCCCAACAAGCGCCTGGTGGCTACTGTCACTTGACACTAGAGTCCAGCCTGACTGAACCTACAAGGCACTTGGCACTGGTTAAAATGATCCCAGTGCAGGAACCCTCTTACCTCTGCTTAAAGTCAGCATAGAGCACTCTGCTGGGGAATCCTTTCCTGCAGATTCGGATCCCTTCCAGCACACCGTTACACCGCAGCTGGTGCAGCACCAGTTCATGCTCCATGGCACCTAACAATTCAGAACACAGTAAATACTAGAATTTCTAGCACAGAGATGAATGACTGTATCACAGGAATATCTTTTATTGAGCTTCTTACCAGGTGTTTTTGTTTCATTGGGGATGATGCAACGGACAAAATGGGGGTGAGTGCTCCGTAAGTTGGTCATCAGCTTGTTTAAGTTCTCCTGTGGGATTGTGTGCAGTTTAGATCAACAAATTTTACTTCTGCACACCCGACCTCTAGATGTCAGGATACTAATATAATGAATTAACACAGATAAAGTAGCAATTAAATCCAAAATTTATATTTATCCAAAGCTTCTTTTTTATGTATTCTTATTAATGTTTTCTTTGTTACTAGAAGTAACTAGTATTAAAGTACTCTTAAAGAAAGTTCTTATTTAAGTTATCCTTCGGGATCAAAATTAAAAGTGCATTTTAATGAAATGAGTATCTTCAGTACTTTTGAATTAACATAAAAATGTCATATATTCTTAAGCTCAAATTTGGACTCTAAAGTGTACTTTCTCATTCCAGAAGAAAATTTGCTTTTTATTAAGGTCTTTCCAAAGGTGTTACAGTGTTCTTTTTCCCTTTTTTTTTTTAATTATTATTTGTTGTATTAATATTGTGACTGAACCAGTGGGAAATACTGTCTTTTTTTGATGTGAAGCGTGGAATCCCTGATTTTCAGAGATTAAGAGTTGAAGAATCCTTACTTACTCGGAAAAGGGCAGAAACAGTCTGGAAAGAAGAACCCTTCTTCTTACCACCCTTCTTGCCACCACCACCACCAGCCTCTGGAAATTTGAAGAAAATATATTTTAGATTTTTGGATTCTACTTGTGGCACCATAATTTGGTGAAACCACTGTGCACCAAAGAGGTGGCATTTAAGAGAACTGACCTGCCTCTCC